AGGTGTACATTTCACTGCAGAATTAAACTTTAGATCACATGTAAATAATGTATGTATAAAGGCATACCGTAATCTCGGATTGATAATGCGCCTTGCAAATAATTTCACTAATGTCGGGGCTCTGAGAGCGCTATACGATACACTCGTAAGGAGCCACTTAGAGTGTAACGCCGTCATTTGGGCTCCTCATGAAGCCAAATACAAATATATGTTAGAGCGGATCCAAAATAAATTTATTAGATTCTTATACTTAAAGCAATTCGGAGTGTACCCAGGATATCCCTTGTTGTATCCTACTCTTTTTTTACTTGGTATGGTAGGGTACTTCAAGCTCGAAGTCAGAAGAGAAGTCACTCTCGCTGTGTACGTGTTGAAGGTATTCAGGGGTAGGATACACAGCCCGAGAGTGTTGGAGATGGTGCGACTGAATGCGCCTGACGGAAGCGCGGGGCGTCGGCGGCGGCCGTCGTTACTGGCAGTGCCACACGCGCGTACTGCACTGATGCAGCAAGCACCGTTCACGCGCGCGCTGCGTGTGATCAACACCATGTCGGAGCGAACTGATTTATTTTCATGTTCGCTGAGTGAGCTCAGTAAAATGGCATATCATATTGTATCGTTGGCTACACTGTCGAATTAGGGTACTCACCCTGTAATGATTGTGTATGTTGTATGTGTGTGTAAATAAATAAATAAAAAAAAAAAAGTTTCACTCAGGAATTTTCTTTGTAATTTGCATAATATATTATTTTTAATTTTAAGTGTTAATTAGGTTTTTCTTATGTTTATTTTATTCTATGTCTATTTGTATAGTGAACTTTCCGCCAATGTGTGTGTGTGTGCCAGCTGGCGGGTGGTGCAGACATAGCAGTGTTGCACATATTTTTTTTTTAATCAGATATATTTATATATATAGTTTATTATTTATTGCAAATATTTTATATTGCTTATATATATATATATATATATATATATATATATATATATATATATATATATATATATATATATATATATATATATATATACATAATATTTATTGTATTATTTTTATATTAATGGCTTCTGATGATGATTCTTTTTTTTCTGCCAATGAATCTGTCACATCGTCTAATAACAATAGTTTTTGTTCTGCAAGTGATACGCTTGGCGATTTCGTGCGGCATACCTTTAATCAGGCGTACTCTTCGTTGAACGTGTGTCATGTCAATGCACAAAGCGTACCCTGTCACTAGAGCGACCTTATTGAAGCTTTTTCGAATGCTAACGTTCATGCTGTTTTGATTTCTGAGAGTTGGTTCAAACCTCATCTTCTTTCGACCACTTATCCTCTCTCTGGCTTTACTCTGATACGCAATGATCGTGTGGACAGAAGAGGGGGTGGTGTTGCTATATATCTCCGCTGTGACTTTTCTTACAAAATCTTAGCCTCCTCCTCACCCTCCTATTCCACCTCTGCAGAGTTTCTTTTTCTCGAGGTATATGTTAAGGGAACAAAACTGGTTCTCGGTGTTGTTTATTGTCCCCCTTCTGTTGATTACTTCTCCAGTCTCGAAACGACTCTGGAATCTTTAGGGTCGGAATACACGCATCACATAATCATGGGCGACTTCAATACTGACCTCTTGGTTCCTACCTCACCCCGTTCTTCTAAACTCCTTCATATTGTCGAGTCGGTTGGTCTCCACATCCTTCCGTTACAAGCCACTCATCACAATACTGATGGAAATGACACTTGGCTTGACTTAATCCTTACATCTTCCCCTACCCTCGTGTCCTCCCATGGTCAACACCTTGCTTCTGGCTTCTCCCATCATGACCTCATTTTCCTTTCTTATGTCCTAAAACCTCCTAAATTGCTGCCTAAAATCCTGCACATGCGATGTTTTGGTCGTATGGATTTAGAAGAGTTGTGTTTAGATGCGTCTAAATTAAAATGGGACAGTGTGGTGGGCGCCTCTACTGTGGACGAGAAAGTCGGTGCGTTTAATGATACTATTCTCAAGCTTTATGATGTACATGCACCAGTCAAGAGGGTGAAAGTCAAGCGACCACATGCTCCATGGATGACGAGAGGTGTTCGCATAGCCATGAGGCGTAGGGACCGGGCTTTTCAACGTTTTAGAAGAGAGCGGAGTGAAGAGAGATGGAACCTCTATAAAGCTGCTAGGAATCGGTGTAATCAGATAATACGCAACGCTAAACGCCGATATATTCTTGATAACATAATTTCCTCTTCCTCTGCCGATATTTGGAAGTTCCTTAGGACTCTCGGAATCGGTAAACAGCCACGTTTTGAGTTTCAGGGGACACTTGGTTTGAATGATATTAACAGACATCTTGTTTCTCATACTCCTCTGGATCACCAAACCAAGTGTCACACTGTTGATTACTTAAATGGCTTACCTTGTCTAGATATTGATCCCTTCCATTTTTCTCCAGTTGCTTCGGATGAAATTAAAAAGATAATACTTTCCATTAAGTCAAACGCTGTGGGTTGCGATAACATCAGCCGCCGTATGATCATTTATATCCTTGACCATATTCTTCCAGTTATTTCCCATATCATAAACTTCTCCCTAGATTCCGGAGTTTTCCCGTCGTTGTGGCGCATGGCCCACATTATTCCCTTGCCGAAAACTTCCAATCCGACTTTACCCAATCACTTCAGACCTATATCCATTCTTCCTTTCCTATCCAAAGTACTTGAACCCTGTGTACATAGGCAACTATCTCTGTTTGTTTATAAGAACAATTTATTAAGCCCTTTTCAGTCTGGCTTCAGGCCCGGTCACAGCACTGTTTCCGCTCTTTTTAAGGTCACTGATGACATTAGGGCGGGCATGGAGGACACCAAAGTCACTGTACTGGCTTTGGTTGACTTTTCGAACGCCTTCAATACCATCAGCCATGACATCCTACTTTCTATCCTTTCCCATTCCATGATTTCTTCCGAAGCACTGGACTGGTTTTCAACTTATCTTCGGGGACGTCAGCAGTCAGTCCGCATTGGTGAGTCTGCATCAAGCTGGTGTGACATAAATGCTGGTGTCCCTCAAGGCGGTATTCTGTCTCCATTGTTATTTTCAGTATTTATTAATCTTATCACCCACAACCTCCAGTGTGCGTATCATCTATATGCCGATGACCTACAGTTGTACGCACAGGCGAATGTGGATTGTTTGTCCGTCGCAGTGGATATGGTCAACAAGGATCTAGAGCATATTAAGAGCTGGTCTGACAGGTTCGGTTTAAGTGTTAATCCATCCAAGTGTCAAGCAATAATACTAGGTAGCCATCGCACAATTAAAAAAGTAGACACTACAGCTCTTCCCGCGATCATTTTCAACGGTTCTGTTTTGGGATTATGTTCTTCGGTTAAGGATCTTGGCTTAAACATTGACTCCACTTTGAGCTGGCATGCCCAAATGACAAATGTTAGCCAGAAAGTCACCGGTACCTTACGGGCTCTTTACCGTCTGAAAAATTTCCTTCCATCCGGGACCAAAACATTACTTGTGCAATCTTTAATTCTTCCCCTGATTGATTACTGTGATGTGTGTTATTTTGACCTGAATGCAGATCTTCTTGACAAATATGATCGTCTTCTTAATAACTGCATTCGATTCATTTTTAATCTTCGTAAGTATGACCATGTGTCTACTTATCGTTCCCAACTTAAGTGGCTTCCCATTCGTCAGCGACGAAGTGTGCGCGCACTCACAACCCTATACTCCATTCTGATGTCTCCTACTCCCCCCTCTTACTTAACTTCTCATTTCCAGTACCTTTGCTCTAGCCATGACAGAAACCTGCGTTCTTCGAACAACCTTTTACTAAAGTGTCCCTCTCATAAATCTGGCTTCCTACATTCTTCCTTCACTGTACAGTCTGTTCTCCTCTGGAACGCACTCCCTCTTGAAATTAGAACGGCTAATAATCGTTATGCATTCAAAAAGAAAATTCGTGAACATTACTTTAATAAACTGGCAGAATCATCTCATTTGTAGTATTCATTTATATGTATTTATATAAATATGTAATTATATATTGTATGTAATTTATTATTTTATGTACATAACTTATATATAATACTATGCATATATTAAACAATTTTTGATTTGTAAGTTTATGTATGGGTATATGTATTATATTTGTTTTATATTTATATACTTTAATTTATTTTCTTGTCTTTTAGCGTTTCACACACCTACTTCTTATTTTTATCTCTGCATCACCCAAAGGTTGACTGGTAGAGAATGCCTCTGGCATTAAGTCCGCCTATACATCATGTTGTATGAAGTGTAAATAAATAAATAAATAAATATCTAGGATGCTACAAAATTTCTCACCCGATGAATCCGGATGGCTAAAGCCCTTTACGTTTTAGCTAAAGTTGGCTCTTACATGTTAAAAAAACTAAAAACTTCACGTCGTTAATGGAACTTACATTTTATATTTTATTGTGAAAGTAAACAATCTAATAATTTTATATATGTAACAATGGCAACACCGTAACCAGCTGAGTTTTAAGTTTCACTTTACGCATGTGTAACCTTTGATCTTTATATCAAAGTGTGAATTTTGTAACCAACTACACAACCCTATACACCAATACTAGCTACTTATTTCAACCATTCATGAATAATTAATATTCTAATATATTTCGTTTAAATAAAAATTTAGTACATTATGATTATTTTAAGTTTGAGGACTTTTACCTTGTATTTTATTACTTTTTAACTTTTTTGTCAACTATTACGCAAACGAAAAATTACCTATTTAGTAAATATTATTATGTATCGAATGTATATTTTACATTTTACATTGTTTCATAATAATTTGTATTTTGTACTGTAATGTCAATGTCAACATCCTGTAAACGGAACGTATCAATTGGATCATCGGAGGCCGTCATCCAGTTCTAGTTGTAAAATAGATAAATTAGTTTGGACTATTTTTATTGTTATAATACGTGTGTGCCGTGCTAGATATAAAAAATGTCGCGACCAGATAGACCTAGTCAGGCGCAGACCTACAAGCTTGTCGTTGTTGGTGGCGGTGGTGTAGGAAAAAGTGCTATTACCATACAATTTATTCAGGTGAAAATCTCCGTATTTGGACCGAACTACGCCTACATTCTAATCTGTTGTGCTAATTTTTAAACCGATTGTGAAGCTTTCATTTTATTTTCTTGCCCGCCAATTACGAACTTCCTTGTGGCGTTCATACATATATTTAAGTAGACAAACATTACATTTATAAATAGTGTTTGAAGATTATTCTATGTCAAGGCCTCAGTTCCTACGACGCCGCCCACTAGCGTCATCGTTTGTCTTGGAATTCTTGATTTTTTATAATATCAGTAAATGGAAAAATAATTAGTATAATATGCCATATAAAATGATAAAATAAATTATCATTTATTAGTTTTAACCTATTATTTATGTTTACGCTTTTCTTTCCTTTAAGGAAGAAATTTATAATAACTTCTAATCTTTTTTACAGCATATGCTGCAGAACTAAGTCTGTCTGTTAATTTAGATATATAGGACCCCATTGAAGATTCGCGTCAATAGTAATACCATGAAAAACAGTGGTATCCACAAGACTCAATTCCTCCTCATTTAAAATAATAATCCCTAAATAAATAGTGTGACTCAAACAGAAGCTGCATAAGTAGTTGTGACAAAACAGTTTGTGACTCAATAATAACAGGAGATTTATGACTTTTACTATTCTGCCACAGTGTTTACACATTGATCATACAGGGTCTTAGGCAAGTGCTGAAACATGTGTATTCACGGTATGTAGGCAATTTAACAGTAACAAAACAAAGACATGTTAATAGGTTTAAGTTTTAGAGACAGAGACTGATGTTGAATTTGCCACTTGTGGCATTCTTGCGGGAAGATAAATAGATGCAGGGTAGATTCGACTGATGGTGGCAAATTGTTTCAGATCTTACCAGCAGCAAATTTAAATCAACCCTTGGCTTCAGCAAGTGTAATCCTAGGTAGTAAAAGCCGATGGCATGTTTCTCTGACTGAAAGCTAACTTTTTTAGCAGATATTGTGTCATACAAATGTCTTGTCATACAAATTATTAAGTGACATTGTGTGTTGCAATATGTATTAAAGCAGGCATATTTCAAAGAGGTACTGTTAAACATATTTAAAATGCCATTAATATCTTCCAGACCACCTTGTTAGTCCAGTGGTTGTAGTAGTGCGACATCTGTACATGAGCTCGCGGATTCAAATGCCGGGTCGGGCCAAAAAAATCAGTTATTGATATCTTTGAAAAATACTATATGGTTAATGTATATATCTTTGAAAAATCAGCAATCAGCAATCAATACTCTTAAAGATGCAAGAAAAATCTAAAGAACAACAAATAATTAAAAATTTTGAACAACTGACTTCAATTTAAATTATTAAGAATAATTCAAAAGCTATTGGTCAGACCTTGATCAAATTTATATGGGACCATATGAGAAGCACCAGCTTTGAAATAAAAAAAGAATCATCGAAATTGGTTCAGCCAGAAAAAGTTATGAGGTAACACACATAAAAAAGAACATACAGTGGAATTGAGTACAGTCTCCTTTTGGAATCGGTAGAAAAAAAGAATGAATATAAAAGGAAATTTTGTTAAAAAAAGTGTACTATAAAATAGATCAATATATTGAATATTGAATGTGGAAATAACTTAATCTGCACATTGAGTCCCCTTTCTACTGAAGTTATTATTTTTGTTACAACTGAAATTTTAAAAATATTTATTGCCCATACATTCTGTTACGAGTTGTAAATTTAAATATAACATGGCTCAATATAATTTAAAATTAAAAATTTTGTACAGCCAACTTCAATATAAGTTATTAAGAATAACTCAAAAACTATTGGTCTGACCTTGATCAAATTCATATGGGACCACACGAGAAGTCCCAGCTTTCAAATAAAAAAATAATCATCGAAATCGGTTCACTCAGTAAAAAGTTATGAAGTAACACAAAAATCAAAATCATGCAGTCGAATTGAGTACCGTCTCCTTTTTGGAAGTCGGCAGAAAAGACCTGTAGAGTTTCTTGCCGGTTCTCCTCTCTGAGAAGGTTTTATTTTCCAAAGCGGTGTAGATTTTAACATTCAAAATAACTGTTAGTTTTGACTTGGACTTTATTCTGGATAAAATTTATTTGAAAATTTAAAATTGTTGCACAAATTTTAAATTCCCATCCGTAACGAGACAAACAATGATGGAAGATGCAGATAAAATATTATTTATTTATTTTATTCATTTATTATTTTAGACATCTACTCTTACTGGTCGAAACCAATGCAATAGTGTCCTTTTTAGGGTTCCGTACCCAAAGAATATCCAACGGGACCCTATTACTAAGCCTCCACTGTCCGCCTGTCCGTCCGTCTGTATGTCAGTGGGCTGTATCTCATGATCTGCAATACGTAGACAGTTAAAATTTTCACAGAATGTGTATTTCTGTTGCCGCTATAACAACAAATAATAAAAATAAAAATAATTTAAAAATTAAAAGGGCTCCTCTACTAGAAACGTGTTTTACGATGGTACAGAACCCTTCATGCGCGATTCCGACTCGCACTTAGCCGGTTATTACTTTAATTTGTGCACTTTATTCTCAGAGAGAGCCTTGGTACGCTTTGTACTGGAAACGGGGCATTCCAACTTAGTCCTCAGTGGTGATGAAGTATCTGCATTTTGATTTTATTCATGGTTAGATGTAGAGTTCACTTACCTTCAGGTGGACTGTATGCTCGTTTCTCACCGTTATTCTAAAAAAAAAAGATGACATAAATAAGTCATTTATTATATATATTATATCTCACTGCTGAGCACAGGCTCCTCTCATTTCTGAGAGGGTTTTAGGGCAAGGAAATGTGAATGCGTTTTGGCCAATTTCACTCTTTTTGTCTTCGAAATATTTTTTTTGTCTTATTTCTCTGACATGCAGGTTTCCTCACGATGTTTTCCTTCATCGTCGAGCACTTAAAATTGCAATTAACAATTTCATTGGTGCCGCCGGGGATCGAACCAGGGTTGCACGTGTACTGTGAAATTTACAGCGAGCGCTAACCCTTGAGCTACCACGGCTCAGAACACGCATTCGCTGCACTGAGCTCCTTTATTGCTGTTGTTAAAGTTGATTTTAAAATATGTCTATGTTATTTCAGAGTTACTTTGTGACAGACTATGATCCCACCATTGAAGACAGCTACACAAAGCAGTGCGTCATTGATGATATTCCAGCAAAGTTAGATAGTAAGTATAAGTGATTCATGACTCTAATAATAATAATAATAAATGGCGCCGTCGACATCTGTCGAGCTTGTCGCCATCCCATCGCCATCACTTAGGCATGTCATCTCCGGTTGTTCGGCGGTTTCTGAGTACTTGCACAGACGCAATCTAGTAGCCAGGATTCTACACCAATAGCTCGCTCTGAAATACGGTCTCGTGGATCAGAAACTGTCTTATTGTAAGTACTTACCGGAAGCCGTGCTCGAAAAGGACCGCGCCAGGCTCTACTGGGACCGGGCTATCATCACAGACAGGATTATTCTTACGAATAAGCCTGATATTGTGCTGATGGACCGGGCACAGTCAAAGATATTTTTGGTTGACATTACCATACCGTATGACGAGAACTTCGTGAAAGCCGAAACAGATAAGAAAACAAAATATCTGGACCTGGCCTCTTAACACCTCGTAAGGTGACCGACATGTGGGGTGGTATGCCGACCGAAATTATTCCTGTAGTGGTCTCTGTGAACGGGCTAATTCCGGTCAGCCTCTCGGGTCATCTGAGGCGACTGGGGCTCGGTGACGGACCGCTCCAGGCTCAAATGCAGAAGGCGGTGCTCCTCGATACCGCCCGTATCGTCCGCCGGTTTCCTTCCCTTTCTCTCAACCCTCGGCCGTTTGGTCTTCCCTGCCGTGGGCTTCCATCTGGTTGGGCTTTTATTTATTTATGTATTATTTATTTATGTTAGTATATTTAATATATATTTATGTATATTTATCATTTCCTCTTATATATTTATTCAGCCCAACCAGCTAGGAATATTTTATAAATACCCCAATAATAATAATAACGTCTTCCAGACCATACTTCGGTGATCATTGGTGAATATATTAAATTTAAATAACTCCATTTTAAAATATTCTACCCAGATGAAGCCGGGACGGCTCGCTAGTTACTCCATAAAAAAGCATAAGACAATATGAAGTATAGACTAACAAAAAGAAATTTCTTACAGTTTTAGACACGGCTGGTCAGGAGGAGTTCAGTGCGATGCGCGAGCAATATATGCGCTCCGGCGAAGGTTTCCTCCTGGTGTTCTCTGTGGCTGATCATGCAAGTTTCGACGAACTATACAAGTTTCACAAGCAAATCCTGCGTGTTAAGGATCGCGACGAGTTCCCGATGCTAATGGTCGGGAATAAGGCTGACCTTGAGCATCAGAGAGTGGTATGTACAATTTTTAATTTGGTGTTTACAGCCTAATAATATTTAATAAAATACCAAAAGAAATTTTAAAAAATGGCTGAAGGATTTCTTGATATGTAAATGTTATTACAACATAACTGACTTTCTAAATGATAAATTTTGAAGTCATTAAATAAAAATTGACTAGTGATTAGGAATATTTTAATTAAATCCCATTAGGAATACTTCGCTATTACGATTGTATTTAAAGTATTATTATTATTATTATTATTTGGTCTATTTGGCCCTTGGTATTGTGATTATGTCACAATAATTCTGCCAATGTCCGGTCTTTGGTCTGTCGCACCTTGTCTTTAGGCTTTTCGGTGGAAAAGGAGTTAGCGGTTATTAGGTGAAAATATGGATAAAAACAAAGCAACTAAATACATAAATTATGGACCACACAATATAGAGCAAACATCTAGTTATAGGAGAGAATTAGCCTGGGCAGGGAATAGAGAATTAGTTTAAGCTAAATTTAGTACACGATAATTAGAGTTTAATATTATACATTTGAATATATTTTGAGATCATATTGACATATATGGAATTGGGGATAGTTAAGAGGGAATTGATATTCATTGGTCGAGGGATTGTGTTGGGAAGAATGTCATATAAAGAAATTGGGTGATTTTGGCAATTAAAGAAAATGTGGTCTGGGGTACCTTCATCCAGTCCACATTCACAGAGGGAATGATCTTTGATTCTAATTTTAGCTAGAAATACAGGAGTGCAGGCATGCCCAAGCCTTAAACGGCAGATTGTAGATGTGATTTGTTTGTTCAAAAAGCTAAATTTAAAGAACCAAGGTTTTGGAGGGATTTGGGGTTGAATTTTACCAAAGTGACAACCTTTAATATGTCTGGATGTGCTCCATTCTCTGTTCCAAGAGTTCTTTAATTCAATTTGAGCTAATGACATTAGATCATGAGAGTAAATCATTAAATGAGAAGGACAGCCAGTATCAACAGCTCCTTTGGCCCAAGAGTCAGCCTGTTCATTTCCTTCTATACCACAATGACTAGGAATCCACACAATCTCCACATCAAGCCCACTCTTATTACAATTTAGTATGAGTTCCTTAATTTTCAGTATTAATGGGGAGATGGAATTCATTTTAAATATATTGCTCTGTAATGACATTAGGCAGCTTTTTGAATCAGTAAATATAACTGACTTAGGAATTTTATGGGAAAGAATATAGGAAATAGCCTCATATATGGCTACAGCTTCCCCAGTAAAAACAGAAGCTTGAGGAGGACATCTATAATTAAGGACAATTTTGTATTTGGGGATCCAGACTGCGGAACCGACACATTTGAATGGAGACAATTTGGAAGCATCAGTAAAAATATATAGCCAATCAGACCATTTTTTTGCCACAAGGTTGTAGAAAGTTCTGTTTGCAGTGGGGGAATTTTTATTAATGTTTAAATTCAGAGTGATTTTAGGGTTTATTAATATAGCTTCATAGCTGGTTTCAAAATAGGGTAGAATTAGGGATGTTACACAAGGATAACCAATATTTTTTAATCTATTTAGAGATTTAAGAATAGGGGGCCAGCTTTTATTAAACCAGTAGGAGTTGTTTACAGCTAATAGTAGCAAGGATTCTAGTTTACGATGTAAGGGGTGAGATGATAGTTGTAGAGTTTTTGAGAGAAATCTATCAGCTAGAAACTGTCTTCGTAAAGAGAGAGGGGGATCAGCACATTCTACTTGTAAAGCATTTTTAGGAGTTGATTTCATTGCGCCTGTGATAATACGTAAACATCTTGTTTGGATAACATCAAGTCTATTAAGGGCCGATTTGTTGCAGGGCTCCAAAAGAAAAGAGCCATAGTCGAAGTGACTGCGGATGATGGCATTGTATAGGATTTTTTGACACATGGGGTGAGAACCCCACCATACGCCTGAAAGGGATCTAAGAATATTAACACCTTTCTCACATTTGTCACAGATGTAATTAAAGTGAGCAGTACCAGTCATATGACAATCTAAGAAAATACCTAAAAATTTTACTTTGTTAACAACTGGAATAGATTCACCATTATATGAGATATCAATAGTAGGGAAAACACGTTTTCTACTAAAGGTTATTGTTTTGCTTTTAGAAGCTGAAAGAGAGAGGCCATGGTCAGTAAGCCATTGATTAAGATAATATAAGCCTCTGTTAAGATGATGGGAGGCAGTTAGGATATCAGGAGCTGTTACATAGATAGCAAGATCATCTGCATATTGTAATATGTCACAGAAAGATGAAATCGAATGTTCAAGGTCATATGTGTAGATATTGTAAAGAATAGGGCTTAAGACCGAGCCCTGTGGTAGACCCTTCCAGATTGTTCTGGGCGAGGTTAACATTCCTTTATTGCGAATTTTGATAGATCGTCCCATGAACAGATTGTAAATGAAGTGTACAGTCTTCGCAGGGATGTTCAGATGAAGCATTTTCTGCCTGAGCACTGGAAGAAGAACACTGTCATAGGCAGATGATATGTCCAGGAAACAACCCACCAAGTATTCATTTTTAGAAAAGGCCAACCTAATATCTGTAGTTAGGATGCTCAAACTATCTAAAGTGCTTTTACCTTTACGAAAACCAAATTGACTTTTTGCAAGGATGTTATTATGTTCCAGAAACCATTCAAGTCTGTTTTTAATTAAATGTTCTAAAATTTTGCAAAAAGTAGATGAGAGTGCGATTGGGCGGTATGAAGAAGCTTCTTTGGGATCTTTTCCGGGTTTAAGGATAGGTATAACAATTTGGTTTGACCAAGACAGAGGAATATTAGATGATATGTAGATATTGTTCAGAATTTGGAGAAGAACTAATTTACCTTTAAGGCTTAATTTACATAAACACGCATAGGGTATGCCATCTTCTCCTGGAGAAGAGGATTTTAAGCCAGATAGCACAGACTGTAATTCGGACAATGAGAAGATTATCTCATTATTGTTGATGTAAGACGGGACTGGAATGGGTGGGCATATTGTATATTCATTAGGGACAAAAGGAGGAGCTAACATATCAGAGAAGACTTCTAACCATGGTAAAGAGTTATCAGAAATGTTGGAATCAGAAAGAAGGGAGCCACGAAATTTTTTTATATTTTTCCAAACTATTGTTACTGGTGAATTAGGGGACAAGGATTCACAAAATTTTTTCCATCCATTTTTTTTCTTTTTGGAAAGTAGTCTCCTTGTTTGAGCGGAGGTTTTTTGAAATTGTATAAAATTATCGGTTGTCATACAGTGATTATAAAGCTTTTCTGCAGCTTTTCTCCTTTTAATCATAGTGGTGCACTCAGCATCCCACCATGGAGGGGAGGATAGGTTCTTGCTGTGGGGTTTTTTGGATGGGATAAATAAGTCAGCTGCTTCAGTTATATATTGTACCAATAGAGAGTACGAAGTTATTGGGTTGGTTGAGAAGTCAACCTGCATTTGCGCAAATTTAGTATCTAAAAATTTAGTGAAATTAGTCCAATCTGCGTCTTGGAGCTTATATTTAAGGAGGGGCATAGTAAAGGGTAAAGGAATAACCGCATTGGGTTTGGTAATAAGAATGGGAAAGTGATCACTTCCATATGATTGATTGAGGGTTTTCCAAGAAAGCTGAGGGGCTAGACTAGGAGAACAAGCTGTTAGGTCGACAGCAGACCTAGGGTCTAGTCCTGGGTATACTCTATGAGTGGGGGAACCATTGTTGATAATGCAAGCATTAATGTCTTCAAAAATTTGTATAAGTTCTGAAGAGTATATGTCACAAAAATGTGACCCCCAAGATACATGATGTGAATTAAAATCACCGGTAATAATAAAAGGGGGAGGTAACAAAGAGAAGAGAGAGGATAGTTCTTGAATTAAGTGGGTATTTGGATGAGGGATATATATTGAAATAATGTTGATTCCTGCAATTTTTGCAGCTACGGCATTAATGTGTTGGCTATGAGGAGGGAGTGCAATTTGAGAGAAGGATAGGGATTTTTTTATGAGTAAGCAACAACCACCATAACCATCATTTCTATCTTCACGGAGGCAAGTAAAGCCTTGCAAGCGAAATTTGGAGTTAGGTAGGAACCATGTTTCTGAAATTGAAGCAACAGAAATTGAATGTTTATTTATTAGGAAGATGAGTTCAGATTTTTTAGGTTGCAAGCTTCTACAGTTCCATTGAAGGAGATGGAGGTCTTTTGTTTGAGTCATTTATATTATCTATTAAACTAGCTAAATTAAAGATTTTTTCTGCAACGTTGTTCGGTAGTGAATCTGACATTTTCAAAATTAAATTATTGAGGAGGGAAATTAGGCATTCAACAAGATTTTCATTTGGAGATATTTGGTTGTGCGTGTTGGATAAAGCGCATCCATTTGGAGTAGAGGATGGGCAGTCTGCAACTATTCTTTGATGAGCTTGTTGGTCATACCCCATGGGAATTCTAGGTATGGGGCGGGGAGGTTTGAAGATGGTTTTTCTATATGCCTGTGACATGGTGGGGAGGTTGAAGGAAGTAGTAGGAGTAGGTGAAAGCTGAGTAGAGGCCACTTCGGAATACGGTTTTTGAGGATTGTTCAATCGGATAGATGGGATTTTGGCTGAAGCTTCTATATAGGATATATTTTGTTCTGACATCATAACTTTGATAGAAATCTGCCTTTGGTGTTCCGGACAGTTTTTGTTATTAGCAAAATGATTTTTGGAGCATAACAGACAAGTGGCTTCACTTTCAGGAACAGAACAACTTGCTCCAGTATGCTCTTGGGCACAACGGAAGCAGCGTGGTTTAGAACGGCATTGATCTGCTATGTGGCCAAATCGACAACAGTGTTTGCACTGGATGGAGGGGAGTTGATAAGTTTCAACAGCAAGGGATGTGTAAAATGCATATATATATTTGGGGAGTAACTGACCTTCAAATGTCAGAACAATAGATTGAGTGGGAACCCATATTGGGGATGTTGACCCTTCAGCAAAAGTC